CTCCTTGTGGTTAACCACCAATATCGGAGACGACCCAGGTTCGATTCCTGGTTATCCCAATCCCTGATTTCTGTCTTGTACAGCTCCATTATTTTTATGTATTTGGTGTATTAGTGCTTTCTCGTTTTTGTCACGAACAGGGACACTGGCTCTTGGCACCTCCGAGACTCGACCCTCTGCGTCAAGTCTTAATACTGTGTCCTGCCACGAGTCTGTCGCTGATAAAGGGATGTTTCTCGTAGGTTTTTCCACTTGTGATTTGGCAATGCTAATCGTTTCCTTTTTTATATAGTTATTTTCGTGATGTGATTTCTTAATTTTTTGAGTACGTAAAGGTACCCAGGACGAAATATACAGCATGATGGATAGTTGGCCTTCTTGAAGGGGCTAGAGATTACAGTAAAGAACTTCTGATTGACTTTGATGGGCTAAAAGTAGGTAGCTGCCGTAATGATGAGTTCAAACAGTGTAAAAATAAACAGCATTAGTAGCTTCCATGTTACATCAAGGCCACACACCTCGTGACTAGGTTCGTGCTGCAAAATGATTGGGAGAGGAAGGATGATTGCCCCCTTTTACTTCGTGTTGGATGATTGATAGGAAAAGGAGGTGACCAAGCGCAGGAACATTAAAGCCGGGCAGTTACGGCATCACAATGTCAGGAAATGCAATCATGAGATGAAGTTAAACATCATTTTATTTGGTTCTTCAAAAGCTTCGCAACTAAAGCTAAGCAAGCAGTATGCCACCGCCGCTGCTAAAGGGACAAAAAAGGGGGGCCTCTTTCCTAATCTCTCCGGTTTCCCAGGGCCCCTTCGATCACATATGTGTAGATCGAATCGAGATATTACTCTCGAATATGTGCCAGCGAGTATGTGCGCTTTGAGAGGGTATTATTATGTATAAAAAGAATTCGTTCCATCGCTTCCGCGATTCCTGGTCTCACGTCTAGAGCTTGCCCTTGTATCCCTTGGGGGCAAGGTTGACGTTGTACTCGAGTTCGAGGGTGGCGCCCTTGGCATCGCCGGTGAGGGGCTTGAAGTCGACGACCAGGTCGGGCTTGACGGCAAAGACGGTGTCGGTGGTAAGCCACTCGTCGGTGTTGGGGTACAGCTGAGTGGTGCAGCCCTGGAACTCGGGGTGGGTGACCATGATGTGGATGTGGGCGGGGCGCATGGGGTGGCGGTCCATCATGGTCAGGAGCTGCCACGAGGGGCCGTCGCGGGGAAGTGAGTAGGCGGTGGGGTGCAGGCAGTACAGCTCGTAGCGGCCGTTGGCGTCGGCGCGGAACTTGCCACGGAGGTTGTTGGGGGTCTGGTTCTCGGGGTCCTGGAAGTCGTACTTGCCGTTGGCGGATGCCTGCCAGATGTCGAAGACGGCACCAGGGATGGGCTGGCCAGTGATGATGTCGCGGATCACACCGTGCATCTTGGTGACCTGACCCTTGGGGGGCACGCCGTCCTGCATGATGGACTCGCCAAGCTCGCGGAAAGGCGCGTTGGGCGACCAGAAGGGTCCCAGGATGGAAGAGGATGTGGGGTCGATATCGCCCTCAGCGATGATCTTGTGTGCGATTTCGTCGACGAGGCTGAAGGTGGAATATTAGTGCGGTTCCTGGCTTGCGGCGGCCGAGGGACTGGAACTTACGACTCGAGGCCGAGAATGTCGCAGATGCGGTGCGTCTCATTCCGGGTGTGGTTGCTCTTAGTGTAGATCTCACCGAGCTGGTTGACAAACTTGACACCCTCCATCCACTCATCCATGGTGAGCTCAACCTCACGGGTGAAGTCGTGGATGTGTTTGACGAGAGCACCGAGGACGAAGCGGTTCCTCTCGGTGGTGGCAGGGCCCATGTTCTCCACGACGTTGCGGGTGAAGTCAGGGTCGAATCTGTGAGAGGGCTTGGGGGGAGCGCCCTCCGCAGCGTGGCCGTTGACTCCGTTGGTGGCCATTGGGATTTTGTGGTGTGTGTAGGGGAAGAGGCTGGTGGTATGTGTGAGGTAGGTATGTATACAGATTTGTATGTCTGTGAAAGAGAGCAGAAAGTGTCTGGGAGAGGGGTGTGTGATGTGATGGAAACGAAACAGGACGGTCCAAACGAGAGAGAGATGGGTAGGTTAAATAGAGACAGCTCCCCTACCGTGAAGCACTCGAGGTAGTTGTGAATTGGCTCTGCGTGATAGGACGCCTGGCAAATAGAGTGGTGTCATCTTCCCCGCCGTGATCGATCGGGGGGCCGTCGCGGCAGCTTGTCCCATCCCCAAAAGGCATTGCGGGAGTGGGGATGGGGGAGAGAGCGATGCGGGAGAAATTTAGCCCTGTGCAGTCACCAAAAAGTCACGGAAAGCGCCACGCCTGCCAACTTGGCAAGGAACAACCCGTCCCCAGGCGCCCCCAAGCTCCCCATAGCCGACCCTGGCCGCTGCTTGAAGGCGCCGCATGACCCGGGCACTCATGCAACGGCCTGCCTCAGCTCACTTGCCCAGGCGTCCAGAGCCGTCCAAAGCAGCAAAAAGCCTCCTGTATTCGTGGGGTCCTCTGGAGCCCTTTTTTCCCGCGACTGGCCCAAGCGGCTGTGTTCTAGGATTCTGGCGGGGGAACCCCAGAAGGGCTCTATATCGAGGAGTGGCGATGGGGAATCGAGGATCTGGAGTAAATCCTGGATGGAAACTCTTTCAGCCCGCGTGCCGCCCTGGCCGCTACAGAGATAGAGCCAGCAGCGCGAAGGCGAAACCTACCTGCCAACCTTTGGAGGGTAGGGGCCTTGGATGAGCCTTTACCCGGCTGAGCACCCAGACACCCGCAAACAGCTCGACGGCTATGGCGCTTGGGAACAAGGTTTCTGGCAGTGACAGACCCATTGCCGGGGTCCTGGCGCGCCACAGAGATGCACTGCAGCGCGCCAGAAATCCCGCCATGCAGGCGCTGAGTCTATCCGATGGATGACCCTCCCAGTCCCTCAATCTACCGGGGCTCCAGCCGTTTGAATGTTCATCCCCACATTTCGCGAATACCGACCTGCGCGAGGCGTCCCAGGGTCTGGTAGGCAAAATGAAGGAGGGCCGCAGACGGAGGGCGGGCAAAAGATAAACTGGCAATTGCCATGGCATGCGGCCCCAATTGGCGGCGACACTGACATCGTATGATTTCCGGAACGCGTCTATCGCTGCTTCTGTTGTCTCGGAGCTGTTTGAGTCCAATTGCACTGGCTGCTGTCCGTCGAGTGCCATTTCCCGCCGTCGGAAGCCGACGTCATTTCAGTTGCAGCAGTGCCAGACCCAAAGCCAAAAATGCCCTTCCACCACTTGATGATCGGGACCTGGACCCCGCCAGGCGTCATCTACACGGTGCAGTTCGACGACGAGAAGCTGACCCTGGAGTTGGTCCAGAAGACCTACATCCCCCAGGACGAGCCCATATCATGGATGACCTTCGATGTAGGCCTAGTTCACCAGTTCTGACCCTAAGGCGAGCACCACTCACAAATGGCAACAGCACTCCAAGAAAAACCTTTACGGTGCGGCCATGAAGAAGTGGTCCAGCTTCGCCGTCAAGTGCCCGACCGAGATCGTCCATGAGGCCTCGCATCCTATAGGCGGAGATCGTAAGTTGGTCACTATCCGATCCAAGCAGCACACGCAGGCGCATGGAGCTCCTTATGCTGACTGCATGTGCCTTTTATTCCAGCCCTGGCGACCAGTTCCGAGACAAACACCCGCGCCATCTTTCTCCTGGCCGCGAAGCAGCCCCCCTACGCTGTTTACGCCAACCCCTTTTACAAACATGCCGGTTTCGGCAACGTCTTCTCCGTATCAGCCACGGGCGCCCTCGACAAGAACATGCAGAACTACCCCTACCAGCCCAACACGGGCATCCACGGCATGGTATTTGACCCGACTGAGACATACCTTTACTCGGCCGACCTGACCGCCAACAAGCTCTGGGTGCATCAGAAGGCATCCGACTCTGGCGAGGTCGAGCTAGTCGGCAGCGTCGATGCTCCAGACCCGGGCGACCACCCTAGATGGGTGGCCATGCATCCGACCGGCAACTACTTGTATGCGCTGATGGAGGCGGGCAACCGCATCTGCGAGTATGTGATAGACCCGGCGTCACACCTGCCCGTCTACACGCACCACAGCTTCCCGCTGATCCCACCCGGCATCCCGGACCGGGATCCAGTCACCGGAAAGGGGCTGTACCGGGCTGACGTGTGCGCGCTGACCATGAGCGGGGGACACCTGTTCGCGTCCTCCCGCGCCAACAGCTTCGACCTCACCGGCTACGTCGCCGCCTTCCGGCTGCGCTCGTGCGGCAGCATTGAGTCTCAGCTCCTTCTCAACCCGACGCCCACCAGCGGAGGCCATAGCAACGCTGTCGCGCCCTGCGACTGGAGCGACGAATGGGTTGCCATCACCGACGACCAGGAGGGCTGGATAGAGATGTACCGGTGGAAAGACGAGTTCCTGCACCGCGTCGCCCGCCTCCGTATTCCTGACCATCCTGGGTTTGGCATGAATGCCATCTGGTATGATTGAGTAGATTGCGCGCGGGGAGAGGCAGGCAATGTAAGGTACCTCAAGTTGTGATTTGAAGACGGGATGCAGTCACGATTGCCGACAGATAAGCTGGAAATGGAAATCCGAACATGTAGAAAGTTGGGGAAACACAACAGCGGGATCGACCTTACATGTCTGCCGGAGTAAGTTGAATAGAATAAGCACAGATGAAACCCAAAAACAATAATAACGGAATAAGCAAAGAGCGAGGATCGGTAGTCTTGAAGCAGAGCAGCTGGCGGTAAGAGATTCTTAACAACGAGACCAGTTCGGATTGTCGCGAAGCAGCAAGTATCGTCGAGTCATGTTTCTAGCACGAAACAGGACCCGATTCAGGTTGAGATGACAAGGCCCCTCAAAAATTTAGGCCCCTGTCATTCCAAGTCGCGCGTCCGACAAGGATAGCCCCAAATTTGGGAGCGATTCATCACAGTTGGAGTTGGGATAATAGTATAGTGGTCAGTACTTCTCGTTGTGGTTAAAACCCAACATCCGAGAGGACCCAGGTTCGATTCCTGGTTATCCCAAATTTTTGCTTCTCCACCACTTTCCCACAGATTGAGTATTGCTGCGCTTCTATTCTTATGTTCAAGGACGGGAATGTAACAAAATAAATAGTTTTTCAATGGGGACAGTCCGCCGTACCAGCAAAAATGGGATAACCCGGAATCGAACCGGGGTCGTCTCCGATGATCACCACAAGGAGATATACTGACCACTATACTATTATCCCTTTTGCTTTGGATGAAACTAGGAGTGGAATTACGGGTCTCTTGGTGGATGGGTGGGTAGACAGGTAGGGAAACCAGGTAGGGAAACCTCATGCATGACGATTGAGAATTTTTTTTTTAATTGCAGGGTTATGGAGTGTTGGATTTTCCCTCCTATTGAAAGCAACTCGATCTTGGGCTTTCGATTGCATCTGACTGAAAAGGTCTTGAGTAGGTATATATGTTGTGCTGACTTTGTGTGGTTTATATTCTCTTGAAGCTGACGACGAAAATAATTCTACTTCCTCGGAACTCGGAGACTTAGAACTTTCTAGATCTGCATTGGCCGCAATTAACTGCTCGACCGCAGCAATGATAATCCCAAACTATCACGTCTTCTATTTATTCCTATGGGCCAACTAAGCTTATGCTACTCGATGCCCCAGTTGAAGGCCGGGCGATTATGTTACGTAAAGCAACAATGCGGAATTTCTTTTGTTCCTATATCGTCTGAGTTAAAGTATCCCACAGAGAGATAAAAACTTTCTCAGGAAAGATCTCAAGCTTATATTTTTAAGTATTGATTCACCGCTTACTTTGTCTTTCTTTTTTAATTCAAACTTTGCTACATTGCTGGAAGGAGTGATAACCTTTCAAGAGCTCTTGATGACTCCTTGTCAATAATGTCGGCAGTCTTTCATAGGTAGTTATTACTCTCTCTTCATGGCAGCATCGGCTAGAAAGCTAAACGGTAAGGGATCGGGCTTGTTGTGACTATGCTTGGCTCTATCGCTGATATATGGAGTAGTAGCGACATCTCCAATCCGGGTGCTATCGTGCAGCCAAGCTTAGCCTACCTGTGAGTACTGATAGACAGTGGTGTATAGGTAAACACAGGCGCGGCTGGAACCAAGCCCGACTTTGCAATACTCGGCTTCAAAGGGAACGAAAGTAGTGGTTATGCTGTAAAGATCAAAGCAACCTTGCATTTAAGGAATACATTTTGGGCAGAGCAACGCTTGAATATAGACTCATTTGCATCGCATCTAATATTTACAGTCACGTCTCCTATCGTCTATTTCTTGGGCTCCTCCTTCTCCTCAGGTTTTGGTGTTGGCAACTTGAAGGTTTCGGGCTTCAAGTCGATACCGGCGCCGACTTGCTCCCAGGCGCTTGTTCCGCCCTCGAAGTTGCGGAATGCCTGTGTGAGCTCCAGCGGCTCAGTAACGATGCGCTTCTTCTCTTCATCGTACCGGATCTCCGTGTAGCCAGTGAGGGGGAAGTCCTTGCGCAGCGGGTGGCCCTCGAAGCCGTAGTCGGTCAGGATACGGCGCAAGTCGGGGTGACCAATGAAAAAGACTCCAAAAAGATCGTACGTCTCACGCTCGTACCAATTGGCGCCGTCATAGATGCTCGTGATGCTAGGCACCGGAGATGTCTCGTCCGCATACGTCTTGACCCGAATGCGCGCATTGTGGCGCACACTCAGCAAGTTGTAAACAATCTCGAATCGCTGATCACGGGTAGGGTAGTCGGCAGCAGTGACGGTCGTGCACTGCGTGAACTCGGCCGCGGTGTTGTCTACGTAGCAGAGGTCAGCCCAATTGATTTCCTATAGCGTCTCCGTACCAAGATCATCTTACGCTTGAGAAAAGAGAAGACGGGGATCACGCCGGAAGGGCAAATGTAGATGGTCAACTCGTCCTTCCAGACGGAGAACTGCTGGATATACTTGGGCATGCAGCCCATGAGCCACGAGCCGTACTTGTGCAGGTCGTCGGCCTTGGACTGGTACTTGTCGGCCGGGTTGACGGGAGGCGACTTCAAGGTGCCAATGGGGGCGCGGGGGAGTGAGCGCGGGTTCGGGGCGTCCTTGGGCACGGCGACGCTCTGGCGGGGAGTGAGGGCGAAACACCGAACCGCGGCCTCATTTCTTCGCACCTGGATCGAGGGCTTCGATGGTCGGAGGGCGGAGGCCAGTGCCCTGTTTCTGCACAGCTTGCTGGCCATGGTTGGTGGTGGGAGGCTGCGGCCCAATTGATCGTGAATCAACTGAGTGGCCTCGATCGAAGTCGTTGCTTTGTGCTCTGTTTAATTGACGTTGAGAGCTCCGTCCGAGCTTCGAGAATGGAGCTGTGCACGTGATAGGTCACAAGGAACGCTGATACCACGGTACGGATTACGGTTACGGTATTACCTACAACTACGGTACTCCTGTACTTTGGAACTCAAATGATGGCGGAGCTTCTTAAATAAGTTCCATATTCACCAAAACTTTGCTCGATCAGACACATGACTGTTTACTGCTCAGGCTTACAGAGTAGCACAAGCTTTTATCGCGTTCTAGTGCCTATTGAACGGTCTGCACTGTGCATTCATTTCTTCCCCCTTTGTGCCGTATTTCGCGCTTTCTTGTTCAGGCTGCAAGGGTGAGCGAGTCCCAAGAACTCAGGCCAGGACGCGACACGTGCCAATTTTGACTAGCCACTTCAGGACTAGCGCGGTCTGAGAGAACCTTTTGCTGGAAGGCTCTGCGTCGTCTTTGCACCTCCTGTCTTCTTTCCATTCACCACACGCAGCCATCTCCTCCCCGCGTAAAACACGACACACTCGACATCCGAGGACACGCCCTCTGTCCCTGTAATTCTCCTAGGCGTTATTCCGGAAAACTGTTTGCCCTTGATAATTATTAGACCATCGCCTGCCGCTACTTGCGGCAAACATAATATCGCTCCACACCACTGTTCATTGCATTCGCGCCCAGCGTCGTTTTGCCCAAACCCAAAACCGTCTCCTCTGTTCGCCCCTGTCCTGTTTCGCGCGACCACGTTACCTGCCCTGCACGTCAGCGACGACAGTATACCGCAAGCATGGCACCACAAGATCAGTTCATCGATGAGGAGGACGAGGTCTGGTATGAACTCCCGCTCCCTACCACCGCCTTCCCGCCCGCTTGCCCGCCTAGCATCCCTTCTCGGCCCTTCATGCCCCCTTCATCTCAGCTCCGGCCTACTGACAGCCGCCTCTATCTAGTCCCCTCTGCATCGAGGAGTTCGACCTCTCCGACAGGAACTTTCGACCATGCCCCTGTGGTTACCAGGTTCGCCGCACCCCATGCCTGACGTTTTACCCCCGGATTGTCGATGCTGATAACGACCACAGATTTGCCAGTTTTGTTTCAACAATATTCGCAACAATATGAACAGCCTGTGCCCTGCATGCCGACGGCCCTATGACGAGAAGACAATACAGTGGAAAGTGGTCACCTCAGAAGAGTAGGCTGCCCTTTACCGGCTTTTGGTTCACCATGTGCTGACATGTGCTAGGATTGCCGAATTCCGCGCCAACATCCAAAAGAGCCAAAAGAAACGTGCAGCAGAACAGCGCCAGCGGGAGGTCCAGAAACGTGAGGCAGAGAAAGAAAACCGCAAGAACCTGGTGGGAGTCCGAGTCGTCCAAAAGAACCTGGTTTATGTGACCGGGTTGACACCAACAGTTCGCGAGGATGAACTTCTCCGAACACTCCGCCGGAACGAGTTTTTCGGCCAGTACGGCAATATCCAGAAAATTTCGATTAGTAACCGAAAGAGCTCGGATGGGCAGAACCAGTCGCTCGGCATTTACGTTACCTTTGAGAGAAAAGAGGACGCATCCAGATGTATCCAGGCAGTTAATGGCTCCCAGAATGGCGATAGGACGCTTCGAGCACAGCTTGGTACAACTAAGTATTGCTCCGCTTGGTTGCGGCACGAGCAATGCACAAACCGGCAATGCATGTTTTTGCACGAATTGGGCGATGAGGAAGACAGCTATACCCGTCAAGATTTGTCGTCCATGAACAGCATCAGCACTCAGCGCCCGTTTCAGCAAGCTGGCCCGGCTGGCCCGACTGGCGCGACAAGGTCCGCCTCGAGACAGCAGGCTCATCCCTCCCCTGTTCCACATTCTGCACAACCCATGGCCCGGAGTTCAAGCAAAGACGGGTCGGACAATGGCGATGGCTCAGCTCTCCCGTCCTCCGCAAACTGGGCTCGCAACCCGCAGGTTCGCAGCCGGCGTGGAAGCCATGCAACCAGTGGTGCAGCACCTAGTCCCGCCATTTCTAACGCGCTACCTGCCACTGAAGAATCCACCCAGGAGGCTGTTGAAGAGATTCCAGAAGAAGAGCCCATCGCTGGCCCCTCGTCAGAGACTACGCCGCCCGTCGCGCCTTCGAAATCTGTCAAGACAACACTCGAGAAGGCTAAGCGCATTCCTCAGGACGCTCTGACTTCTCTCCTCAAATCTCTCAAGAGCTGTGAGCTGGCATGGCCCAAGGTCGGAGACGCACAGGCTTCCGATGTTGCTTATCCTCCACTTTTCGATAGCCGCGGTTGGGAGAAGCGGCGGATCATTCGCGAGGACGAAGACGCGGGCACTACTGAAGACCTTGAACAGTCGGTTGCAACAGGGGAGCCTTCCGAAGGAGAGCCCGATGGCAGCGGCAGCCTTGCTTTGGGTGGGGAACCTGAAGATCAGGAACAGACCCGTGAGACTCTTTTTGATCCGCGCAGAACCTCGCAACAGCCGCCTATTCAGCGCAATACCGCGGACGGGCTTTTTGGGCCAGCCCTTGGTTCTGCCACAGGTTCCAGCTTCGGCCAGACTCCAACGAATCTTGGCTCTATCGGCAGCCGGACAATAACTCCTCAACAATCCGGCCAGACTGCTTTTATGCGCCCGCAGAGCACTTTTGTCGAGCAACACCTCCCTCCTGGTATCTCTTCGCAGCAAAACCTCTTCCAGGGACAAGGCCACAGTCGACAAGGTTCGCGCTTCAGCTTTGCAAACGATAGCAGAGACGCCGCTTCTTCGACATCTGTCAAACTTGCTGCTAATCCCCGGATCATGGCGCAGCAGTCGTCGATGATGCCGTCGTCCTTCTATAACCAACCCGGCAACCAACACTATGCTTCATCAATGCCAGGCCCGCCGCCTGGGCTGAAGTCGACTGGAACTCCTCCTAATATGTTTGGACAACATA